TCAAGTTGGGGGAGGCAAGTGGCGATTGCACCCCCCCCCCCCCCCATTGGATTCGCCACCACCTCCCACAATGGCTTGTCATGTGACCACTCCATTGCATGTACAATGCTCTCTTGGCCTTGTCTAAGCCACCAGCTCGATAGAACTGAACGTGCGGTCGTACGGTATCGTTGTTTCGGTCTGCAACTCAAAAGAAGACTTTAATAAATTTGACCATCCCAACGGGGCAGCATTGAAACACAGAGACAGCTGTAGGCTGGCTTCGTTTTTAATGAGGACTCATCAGCGCAGTCATCAATCATGCACCGCCGCAATCTCTCTCTGGCAGCCCACATACGTTAGCAGAGGGCTTACCACTACAGTCTACAGTATGGGGGGGACCTCCCATTGGTGCCCGCCTGAAGTAAAATATAACTCAAATCCTACGCGTTCTGTTAACGACGAGAGAACCCATCACCACATGGAACGAGGCGACTTGGAAACGCCGCCGACCAAGCCGCTTAAACGAGGCAAGCGTCGGTAGCGAATGCAACAGGGGGTTGAGAGTGAGTTGAGATCTCATTAGGAGCCCACGGCAAAGGCAAGATGGGCAGAGAGGCGTGGGCGAGCATCGCATTACACAGGGACGCAGTCGTCCCGGCAGGGAACGGCTGACCCCGGCGGTAATGAGAGATGATTTGGGCCAATGGCTTGGCTAAAATCCATGCACAAGCCGTGATGCTCTCACCACCAGCGTAAGGCTCCCCCCCCGATCTTTCATGTCCACTCTCAACGGCTCATTTTACAATGATAAATAATGGATGAAAAGGTTTTATTTTGTCTGTTTGTCCATCCTGCTTATATTGGCTTGCAAAACATATGAATAATAAAGCCTTTTTGAAATGCGGAACCATCATTTAGGATTTTATGACAGGCAATGTTGTTGTTTTTTTGCATTGTAACGGATAGTGTGGGGGGAAAGTCAAGGAGATTAGCGAAATTAAGAGAGGAAAATGCCAAACAATCCATAGAATACTGTACTAGAAAAAAATGTATTTACCAGGTAAGGCCCACTGAGCAATATAGCTCTTTTTCAGAAGCGACCTGGCCAAAAATGATCACTCAATGAAGTGGCTTATCACGTGGAAATGTATCGCAGCCGAATACTCTAAACGTACTTTGAGTCTAAATGTGGAGGGAAAACCGGAGGACCTGGAGAAAAATCCACGTGACCACGAGGATAACACACAAACCCTAGATATACAGGCGTCAGGGTTGTGATCGAACCCCCGACCTCCTGTATACCAGGCGAGGTAGTTAAAGTCTCAACTTTGTAAAAAAAAATACGTGAAGAAAAGAGTGAGAAAAGATATCGGACTGCACAACAGTCAAGTGATTGAAGAAACCGCAAGAAACAATGGGAGCCGTAAAAAGGAAGTCGAGGATTGATAAATCGCAAAAAGTAGCTCTTAAGACGGCAGGATGGAACCCTAATGCACAATAGAAACACAATGATAAAAACGAGCGGAGGAATGTTATGAATATATCTATGGAAAAAATAATCATACGCCCCAGGAAATGAATCAATTTTGTGAGAAGGAAATTCCAGACATCACACTTGAAAAAGTAACCACTATCCTTTGCAGGATGAAAACGAAAGGAGGGAGGCTTGTGGATGAGATGGAATAAACTGTGGACATCGTGACAGAAGGGAGACCAGATGTTATAACAAAGTTATCAGTGGAAAGTTATTGGTGGAAACAGCTCCACTGAGACTAAGGACGTTATGATCATTCATGGCTGCAGTGAAGAAAAAAGTTTTAGCCTGTTATAAAACAGAACTGAAGAACTGTATAGAGTTACGTTGGGATGTCTCTAGCTGCAAGGGTTAAACTGTGTAGGCGTTTAATGATCGTAATTAAAACTGTATGCAAGTGAAGAATAGGCAGGAGTATAAAATGTTTGTTAATTTTGACATGGTATCAGTTGGTAAAGGGCCTATAACAACTACGTTGATGAATCTGAGCCTTCGTGGAGGTATTCTGATCCTATTTCGCACAAACTAACAAAGGCACCCTTCACTCTGCATTTATTTTACTAAGCACCGCTATGGAGACACGTATTGAACAGGCATCAGGGGACTGAAAAAAATGCAGCCAATATCTGAATCTTATCCACATCGATACAAGGGACAGCTTTCCAGAAAGCAACCAACCATCCATCCAATTACACAGCCCTGCCCTTTTGCTCAGGTCTCCTTCATTTGCCGACGATCTGCTAATCAGTTTCTGGAGGACGTTGCTTACAAACCACGGCGCGTGTCCCAGCGTCAAATGCATCAAACGTTCAACGAATGCGATTCAAAGACAAAGATTGGGGTTAATCAGAAACCTACAATAGACACGCCTTTGAGCAGTCGTTTTCCATCACTGTGGTTACCAAAAAAAATACGAATTTTTTTTGCGTGTTTGCGTGTGCATGCTGCCTGCAGCACAGGCGCACGGAGAGATGCGTGCTCGGATATTACACCGACAGACAGAAAGCAGAACACGTGGAAACATACGCAGGTTAATTAAATCATCCAAACCGTAATAAACAAAAATAAGTGGGCTTTAGGCAGGCTGTGTCGCGAGTTGGAATGGAAACCTGCCCACGAGAACGTCCACCGGGGAGACGGAGCGATGGAATCCGTTCGCGTGCGGGAGCTTACGTGGAATATTACAGGGCAGGATCGTAAGAGGTGGCGGCCTCTCAGGGCAGCCTTCAACCAGCAGTGGAGTGACCATGGCTGATGATGATTATAAGAATGATGGGCCATTAAAGATTTTCAATTTTAGCTCAGACAATTTTTACTAGGACATGAAAGCCAGAGACGCATTAATGTCTCTCCAGATTGCTGTCTGGACTCTTAAGCCAAATTGCCTTGACTAACTCTCAGCCAATTCTTAAAGGGGGGTTGCGGGTGGGCGGGTGATGGAATAGACAGTCTCACTTGAGTGCATAAACTTACCACAGGCTTACTGGCACGGAATACTAACGAACACGCATCCAAAGGGCGTTAAAATGACCACGGGTGGATATTATTTTTTTCAAGACCAAGTTTGACGAAGGAAAAACACAAGCAAACTTGCCAATTGCGTACGCGCGCACGTTCTGCAAGCGTGCGAACGAGGCAACGGGGGACGAAAACGACGAAGCGCTCCGTTGTGCCGCTCCATAGCGGCGGTGGCGGCGGCGATAAAAAGCGGCCACGCGGAAAGAGGGGCCGAGGAGACTCCACTTTTAGAGCAGGGGTGGGGAACCTTTTAATTTACCGATGGCCCAACAGGGCTTTCAATGCCTTTGGCGGGCAGCCACACATGAACGCAAAAACAAAGACGGAGAGCTCCCGTACAAGCCTGGAACAGACTGTTGGGGCCAGTGCTGTTAGCGAGCACCTATGAAGGCCGGCACGGCACACGAGGCGGTGGGTAGCCAACACCACGCCCGGCCGCCTTTCTCTCCCAAGTAGTGATGTCTACACACTGCACGAGGTGCTCATTTGAGGCTGGGTAGACCGAGGGGAGGCCCAGGACCAGTTAAAATAATCGTCACTGAGTGTTGGCCGTGAATGCGAATCACATTAAGACACACACACACACACACCTCCTGTAGTGACTTCTGAAGGGAAAACTTTTGAAACACAGTTGTTGCCGGGTCGAAAATATTCTGCCTCTAGTAATCGATTTAGTGAGGGGGGGGGGGGCTAAGATTATTGCAGTGACGAGTAAATATCATCTTGTGGGCCATTTCAAAGTGGTAGGCTTCACTAATGTGGCCGGGGCACGTAATGAATTCACGGGATAACGGGTTCCCGAGGAGCGTTAGGTCTGATGCCTCTGCCCCAACGTTAGCAGTAAACGTGAACATTTTCAAGGGACACAAAGGAAACTCAATGGCAGCCCAGCAGAGAACACAAAGAGTTTGCTTGGCCAACAGTTTGTAATTTTTTGAGGAAAATTATTTTGTCTGCAGCGTCAACAACAACAACATAAAAACGCGAAGGTTGTTTGCAGCACAGGCCTCATTTTGATCATGATATTCTACAGTTCTTGCACGATCCACCGTTGAGGTTTCCCCCACACCGTGTGAATGTACTTCACCACGCTGGTCATTGAGGGTTAGTGAAATGGTGGGGGGGCTATAACCAGTTTAGATATCATACTTGCCACTGATGTTAGCCGTGCCCTGGTATTCAACTCATAGCGCAGTTCACGAAACCACTGTGCTGTCGCTACACCCAAAAGTGTGCAGTATGTACAGTTAAAAAAAAACACACAAATAATAACGTACGGCTCTTTGTCAATGTCGATCCACTTCTGTATTAAGACTTCCCCAGGCCATGCAAGTCACAGGGTCTGCTTGACCATACCTCGACGGTGAAGGCCACTATGGGTTTGGCGAAAGTCAAGATTAAAATTAAATGCAGTACACGATCCGGCGCGAACAAAAATTGTTCGTGGGCGGCTGCCAAAGACGTCGCATTCTCAATGTGACAAGTAAAAACCGCAAAAAAAATTCGTATTTTATGTCTTCTTTTCTCTTGCAAAAGCTTAAAACGTTTACGCCCAATAATTCCTCGTGTGTCAGCTGTGTTTTTGGTGAGGTTCTTATTTAATTATATATCTCTGTTGGGATAAGCTTTGATGCTCGCTAGCTAGATGGCTGAGCATTTGAGAGCTCTCAGTTTCCTCCCAGGGGAATGGACTTTGTGTGCAGTCAGGTGAGACGGCTTAGGGGGGGGGGGGGTGTGTGGGGGGAAAGAACACCCGCTTTGTTCAAGTCCCCGTCCCCTCAGACATTAAGCCCTGGTACCGCAGAACCTGCACTTACGAGCGTACGGTTCTCAAGGTTTTTTCAGGCTTACCTCGCTGCAAACGGCGGGCGCGACAAAGATAAAAGCGAGCGGGGCGAGCGGCTCGGGCGGGGACGGACAAGGGCTGTTGTTGTTTTTTTGCTTTTGCATGCGCGACTCAACTCACCCTCCGGTCGTGGGCTCCACGAGGTCCGGCATGCCCGGCCCGGCCCCCGTCGCGCCGCCGCCACCGCCGCCACCTCCGCCAGCCGCCCCCTCCCCTGCGAGGCCGCCACATGCCACCGGCTCCGGGTCGAGCACAAAGAGCTCGTCCCCAGAAGTGTCCACCACCAGGTGGAGGTGCTCCTGCACGGCCCACAGTCCAGGTGACCCGGTTCAAGAGGGAAAAATCTCGCGTGACGTCGCAAACGGCTTAGCGTCTTCAAGGGATTTTCTTCTTTTTTTTCGTCTTCTTATAAATTCACTCCCCAAGTTTATGCCAACAGCGCTGTCGATATCGTGTCACGTACAGCCCTTTTGCCACTCCACTGGTAGATGAGGGCCTTCTCACGCGGTGTGGGTCGTGGGGGTTATTTGACCAAACTCCACACTGATCGGTGAGGGTTGGTGAAGGCCAGAAGCAAATACATGACAGCATAATGCACTCTTACAATGGATTTTGCAGCAACTGAACACTCTGATGCCCACAGTGTAGCCCCGCAGCAGCCTAGAACACCTGTATGTACGTTGTATGTATGTTGAACTTCTTTCGCACCATATGTAGCCAACCGTGCCAATCGGAGGTGCGGAATATCGAATCGGAGAGGCGGAATATTAATGCTATTGAATACACTTTCGCAATTGTATTCACGAGCTTATTATCCGCACCAATAGCAAAGAATTGACTGGCATATTAATCAAAGGAATGTGTTCAGTCCTCAGACCTTGCACCCTCCGAATTAAGTGACAAACAAACATTGAAAGAGTTTCATTTTTATTCTTGGTTCTTTCGGTAAAGTCACGTAGAAGGGAAACAATAAAATAATAAAAATATAAAACAATTAAATTCTCATGACGTTTCGACTGCAATACAAGCAATCATCATCAGGTGTGAAAACCACAACAAGAACATTTCTTGTGTTGCAGTCGAAACGTCGTGAGAATTTTATTGTTTTGTATTTTTATTATTTTATTGTTTCCCTTCTACGTGACTTTACCGAAAGAACCAAGAATATGAATCCCTGCAGTCACGAAAGCTTTAAATCAAAAGTTTCATTTTTCTTTGCAGTCATTGGCAACCGTGCAAACAACGACAACTCATGCCACACGAGAACCAGGCTAAATCGAACTTGGCACCTCAGAAGCGGTGGCTCAGTGCTCCAACACGCAGATTATGTTTTTCTGAGCATTCCCAGTCGCCTCAAATACGATATGTGTTTTCAACAGAACATCGTGATGTCCACATTTGCGAAACGTGTGCCCGGGCACGATGCCGAGTACGCAACCTATTAAGCAAACATCAAATGTGAATACGTCTGTTTCATCTGCATAGTAAAAAAAACCCCCACAAAGCATTCAGTCGGATATCATCATAGAAGCGGCAAAAGATCACTTTGGTGACCTCTGCACTTGCCTTTACCATCTGAAAAATTCCGAATTTTAAAAGTCCCATTACAGGTGGGGGGGGGGGCATTCCAATAGTGCCCCGGGGTAACGTCCAGATCGCGGTGTGCCAGTGTAAAGCACCCAACGCGTGCACACACACAAAAACCCTCCACGGTGGAAAAGTTAGCGTAGCGCTAATTGTGCTCGCTGCATAAGACCGTGACGGAAAAAAAACCCCCAACTCAGCACGTCATTGTACCACATTATCACAACAGATGGCCTGTTTACGAAACGGTATTTTATTTTTAATATGGCCGCCATTGTTCCATCAGCGTAGCTGATCAAAGCCCATAATTTGTAAATATTGCAATCAGAATTTCTAAAAAAACACGACCATAGAGAGTGTTGAGACGCAAAGCCGCACGTTTGTTTTGTTAATGTGCCCCCTTCCCCCAGATTGATGCTGCGGGAGATCCATACAGTCAAAGAGCGTTACTGAAGCATTAGATCATTGCGGTCGTTAAAGAGAAGCTCATTCTTGCGATGAAAGCTGCCTTGCTGAGGGGCCCACAGTCCGCGAGGAAGCTGCCTTTGCATTCTCCGCTGCTGCCCTCCGCGTCGTCTAGCAACCGCCATTTGAAACAGGCAGGAGGCTGGCCAGCTAAGGTCACCGATCAGTGAGGTCCTTCTATTAGCCCAGTGAATTTGGGGAAAACAAGTCAGCATAGAATTCACAAAAAAAGCTTTTCTTCAGAGTGGCTGGGCCTTCCTCGGCTCTTCTCGCAACAGAATAATGAATGCAGATTTTTGCCTTCCAAATGACCCCAGATTTCTAAAACATCTTTTAGAGGCGAAAATTAAAAAAGCGACCACACTTTGTCTAAGAATGGGTACCGCATGCCACCCTGGAGTAAATGCCCTTCATTATGAGGACCCTTAAACACGCAATCATGCGAGGAGTTTCCAACCTACAGGTCAACTATACAAATGTAGGATTACCGAGACATTAATTGTTAAGACTCCTCTCTATTATGAGTCAAATAAGCAATCCATGGGGCTTTAAACTGCGTTAATATTGATCCTTCTGTCCTTCCTTAATGGGGCAAACTCAATTCTCCTCCGCGCAAGTGCATTAGCCAACTGCATGATTTACAATTCAATTACAAGTTTTAGTGCAATACATTTACTGCCTCTGCCGCCGCCGTTGCCGCATTGGGGATTCTCATGCAGCTTAAACGATCTTCACGGCCACGTGCAGCGGACCCAGCGATGGACATTTTTAATTGCATTCCACCCCGCTCGGTCTGCGTAGCCGCAACAAGATGCCAGACGCCAGAAGACGGCGGTTTGCGAACGGGAAAATAAATGACAGCAGCATGGCCCGGCAAGCCGTGGGGCAAAGGAAAGGTACGTACCTGCGCTCTGTCTATCCGGAAAAAGCGCTCGGCAGATGTGGCTGTAAAATAAACGACAAAAGTAACACACTTCAGTCAGGCGGGGCACTCGGGCACGTTTCTCTCAATTTGAGCCGCAGCAGCAAATGTCCCCGAAATTTGATTAACCGAAAAAACCCAGCGGTGTCACCCCGAACGTCTGCCCTTATCCACAACCTTGTTTGAAAAGATTTAAATCACCTTAAAATTAAGGTGATATTTACGAGCAAATATTTTTACCATAAAGTTTGACTCAATGGGAGGTTTTTTTTCTTCCTTCTCCATTGTGGGGCACGAACACAGAGGGCGCTATTGTCGAAAGCACTCATGTGTCAGTGTGTACACAGTGTCACTGTGTGCGCAGGCGAACGCACACTTGTGGCAGAACAAAGAGCAATAGACAAAGTACGTGAATCATACAAAAACATTAATACGGTAAACATATACCGTATCCTGATGGGTGGCTCAGTAGCAGAGTGAGCGGCTCGCGGTCAGAAGATTGCGAATTCAGATCGAGGATTGTGGATCGACACAGCCAATCATCCCTCCAGGGATGATAAAACGGTTACACCACTTTGTGGGGAAGCCAACAGTGGTTTTCCTATGGCAATTCTAGTGCCTGTCATTGGCATGTGAACAATTCCACCACTGACTCAAGGATGTGGTAATATTATTTCTTTATTTTATAGAGCATCATTCGTGAAAATTGCATCTCAATACGATGAACACTCTTCCTGAAGCACTCTCATGGCTAGCAGACCTCGACATTGGCATTTAGCTCCTGGACGTATTGCCATCGCAGGAATAGATTACAGGACATACAAAAATGGACGAGAACACTGCAGAGACACAAAACCACACACGTCCACGGGAACGGAAGTAAACAACATGGGAACCAGAAGGAGCGAAGGGGGAACGCTTGAGCTCCTGACAGGAGAAAATCCAGGGAATGACCACACATAGGTGGCAAAAGCACCAACTCCTCACATCGGCCAAGAGTGCCACCACCTCCTCCGACACCTGTGTGGAGTTTCTATGCGCTCTCCTTGTTCTGCATGGATCTCCTCCAGATTCTACGACTTTCGTCCCATAGCTAAACAAAAAAAAAACCACCCGTACAATGCAACTGGTAAGTGGCCAAAATGTCCGAATGCTCCACAAATCACCTGGAAATTACTCAATTGCAACCACACACTGCAGCAGCATCACCCCCTATTGCAAAAACTGGACAGGACCCTCCTGAACAAGAGTCTTGAGACTCCGCAAAGCCTTCCCGGTAAAACATACGTCATGATCATAATAAAACACAATGCACACCAGAGAGGCGTACAGCAGAACCCCAGGAACAACCTACGCAGTGGTATCAAGTGAGAGGGGCGTGCGATTTGTGAAATCCGTGGAGTGCCGTTCCATTTTTCAGAGCTTTTTTTCGATCACCACCGGGAGTTTCCAACTCCTCGGGGACGAAAGCGACGGGCGCTGGGGTCAAGATCGTAAATCACCATGGGAATTCCCCATTTATCTGGCCGATGCGCGGGCTGCCCCCGCATCGCCAAAATGCGGTGGGCATCGCGCGGGGAGAGAATGGCAAACCGACCCTGGTGAACGAGATCCGGTTGCTGCCTCTGTGGTAGAAACAGCAGAAGCGTATCTGACTCAACCAGAATTAGGGGAGAGCCACATGTACAATGCATTCCTCTCGTTTGCTCTGTTGCTGGCAAAAAAAAACCGGGACGTCCGATGTCGCGGGAAGAATTAAATGAATTTCTCTGTGAGAAAATGGCTACTTCAAAAAAAGGGACGGTCCTGGGGGGGGAAAAAAACCCTGGCTCCACGTCGCAAGAGCACACGCGTGTGTGCTCAGGAAGCACTGCTGCCATCTCTGAAACAATTCACCCACTCGTCGCTGCTAACACAAACGAAAAATTCTAAACAGTAGGGAAGATGGAAATAATTTAAACTTGGTTTAAAAAAAAAACGGGACAGCGCGTGGAGTTAACAATGTCCCCTTCTGCACCCGATCTTATGAGTAAACGATGGAAATAACGTTTGCTGCGGACTCTCTATTAAACTTAACTATTTTACATTTTACTAGGTATGGCCCACTGAGATGTAAATCTCTTTCTCAGAAGCGACCTGGCCACAAATCATAGCTCAAACGAAGCGGCTTTTCACATGGAAATTCATAGCAGCCAAATACTCCAAACACACGTTGATTCTAAATGTGGAAGGAAAAACCCGAGGACCCGGAGAAAAATCCACGCGACCACGGGAGAGAGAACATGCAAACTCCAAATATAAGGTATCGTCAGGGCCGGGATCGAACCCACGACCTCCTGCATATCGGGCGAGGTGGTTAACATCTCACCACTTCGGCGCCCTTAGTGCGGAATTATCCTGCGCGTCTCTACCACCACAACGCTTATCCCCAACTCGGGAAACAATTTGCGTCTCCGTGACGCCTCCGACGGAGCCATATGTCAAACTTCGCAGCCTCGCTCACCGCCCGCAGGAACAGCTGTTTTTGAATTGGGAGGCAGTCAATAATTTATGTCCACTCTGCCAGTGCCGGGGCATATGCTACAAAACAGTTCTGCCGTCTCTAACAGCCTCAGGGTCAGCCCATAAAAGGAAGCAAGAAGCCAGAATTACTGTACGCACTTAATGCCTCGCAGCCCAATGGCGCTACGCGTGTAGTGGCACTGTGGGGAATAGGGCCGTCACCGATGTTTTTCCTTAGCGCCAAAAGGGCCAAAAAAAAACCACGCAAAAAAAACAAGCCATACTGCGCCGTCGTATTATTTCCTGCATCCTGTTCTATTATCACATGCTATGGCAGCAATGTGCTTGGGAGCTAAATTGCCAATGTCGAGCTCTGCTAGCCAAGACGAAAGGGCTTAAGGAGATATAGTTTGTTTCGTGTTGCTGTCCCTACGTCGACGGAGCGCAGACCACAGTGGTTTATGATAGAGTCAATAGTTTGGGTTGCATGGCCGAAGTCGCACCACTGTGACTTGTCTTTAACGTTCCGTTCATCAAGGATATGTTCGCATCGGCCTGTTGGTCTTCTAATGCCATTGATGTTTCTGCCAGCATCGAGGAATGTCAAAGGCACGGCTTGCGATGACGTTTGGGTCTCGAATGAAGGGTTTATTCTGGACGTCCAAGGCCGTTCCATTCTGTTCGCTAGCAGCGCTGTTTGTAGATCTGGCAGAGATTCTGGGATGGTGACAGCAGCAGTGTGATCCCAGAAAGAGGGATCGGGACTTGAGACTGTCGAGGTCTTCGTTGATGGGAAGTTTTTTTTTCCTGCATTGTAAGCCTACCATTCTACAAGAGTAGCATAAACTTTCACAAACACCACACAACAACTCTCCAACCCTTCTCACTCACGCAATCACGCAAGCACGCACGTGGACAAAAAGCTGTAGCAGGGCTGCCCTTCTTTTCAAATGTCACGCGTAATGCCGCAATTTTATAAAACACACATTCCGCTTCGAAGTGGAAGAAATGTTAAGGAAGGCAACGCCTCAGAATTTGAGGTAAAACCAGTGCCGTTGTTCTTAAAAAAGCCGCCGTACGTAAAAATGTTCAGTGCTCCGTGTACGAAACACAACTGAGATAAATACATAAAGCCCGGCAACGTCACGCCATGGCAAATGGAGGGTCTCTTCTTTCCAAGGGTGTTCCTAATTTCAGCCTCAATAATAACGCCACTCACTCACCCATGGATTCTCACGTGAAATAATTTAGTTTTGATGCATTGCGAGTCTTAAAAACAGGTCCAAATAGCCTACAGGGCCTACAATCACGGACTATAATAACGGTGACAATTATTTACCAAGAGTCTGAAGGACTCTTTTTCAAGAGAGTCTTACTACATTGGGATATTTGCCCGATCCCATTTTTTTGCGTGTTTGGCTTCATGTTGGCAAGGAATCTGTAGCACCCGGAACAAAGGGAGTGGTATGCAACATCGCCACCTCCTGGCCACTACATCCCAGATCCTTGCCTACAACACCCGGCAAGCCTGCGCATTGTTCACCCATCCCAACACTATCCGACCTCAACCTTGCATAGCTTTACGAGATTTTAACAAGATTGGGTTGCATTCTGGGCAATTTGGCCGTACGTCTTTAAACATATATAGCGTTCATGTTAACCGCATATGTTAAAGCCCACACTGGCACGCTGTCAATCGGCATATCTTGACTGTGGGGGAGAGTGGGGGGACGGGGCGGATTTTGATGTCCGTGTGCAGAATAGGCTGAAAGAGACCCATTATTCCGCAGATATTATGGCTCGTCTTACACGTAATGGAGCTATTAAAGCGATCCTGACGACGCTCGTGCTTGACAAGGGGCGACAGTCGCTGCTCGTCATTAAGCCGCGGAGGTCTGCGAATGCCTGCACGCGTGCACCACACGTCAGTCGCGCACGCACGTGATGACTCGGGGCGAGAGCGACGCACGCCCTCGCCCCGAAATGGAAATCACGGACGCGAAACGCATGGGGCTCCTCGGCAGAGGGAATCTCTCCACCGTCTCTCTGTGAACGTAATTACCATACAGTCTAGAGGTTTTTTTTTTAAATTTTCTTGCAGACAACTGGAATCGCACACCTATAATTGGCGGCAGCATCAATCGGTGGGAACTGATGCTTGGTTTTACACTGTCTCTCCGCTCATCGATTGAGATGCTTCAATTTCATTCCTGATACATCAGCCCTCATGCGGTAACTTTCCGGGGGGGATGTTTGGAAATAGAAAGTAGTGAAAATGTAATGGTGTGTAAGGATATATGTATTTAAACACGCGTGTGGGAAACAATAACGGTGCCCGAGTGCCGGACAAAGGAGGGATCGTAGACAAAAAAGGATGTTCACCGCTGAGATGGAGCTACGGAATCAGCGAAAGTGCAGGATTGTTGAATTGCAAGACCACAAACCAATCAGGAAAGCATTCATCCAGCAGTGGATGGATCATGGCTGATGACGATGTGGTGTTATGAACTCACACATTATACACGTATGAATTTAACAATACAAACATTGACAGCCATTCGCGAATCCACTGTTGGATGAAGGTCTCCTAGTTCTACATAAGTTACGGGATGGATGATGAAGGCAGGGGCCAGGAACGGTTCAGATATCTGTGAAAAAAGAGCATCACAAGCTCATCAGATGCTTCCAGTCCAGTATAAATAAAGGTATCACTCGTCACTGATGTTGGCCATGGCCCAGAGTAAAACGCAGGTGGCCAGATCCATTACGCGGCATTTGCAATCCACTGTGTCGCCGCTCCAGTGGCGAACGATATTTAAACCGTTCCCGGGACCTCCATCCCAATTCGCCAACCCAGTGCGGTGAAGTATGGTTGAACAACCCCCATGGCTGGAACAAGGAGCAGCCTTCATCCAGCCGTGGAACAATGGGCTAGAATTGTTTGTTTTATGTAGACATAGACCTTAGATAAACAAAACTATATAGTTATCTGTGAAAATTGGAAATTTGTGGGTGGTTTGGAACCCAACAACGTGGTTTCTCAATGTTCACTCTGAGCGATATATATACACGCATTTGTTATTACTCGCTCGTGCGCATGTGCGTTTTGTTATTTTCTTTGTGTTTTTTTTATCGCTCCACAGCAATGTTTTGGCAGGAGAGGGCCGGATTAAGTCATGTTCTATAAAGGGCACTGTATGATGTTTCGATTGTAGATTTGCCATTTTGTCAAAAGTCAGACTTTAAAGCTGCGTGGAAAGCCTATTGCGCGCTTCTGACAGAAAAGCTTGCACGGACAAGGCAGACTGGCAGGCAGGTGCAGAAACTCAAACGAATGCTCTCGACAGGGTCAGTCACTAACCCAGGATTGCTCCAATAATTCCTTGCGGCCACGCGCCTAAGTGGACAGGACATCTTGGACCGCGCCATTCAGAAACGGGGTCTGACGTGAATCGTTGAGGCGAGAATCACTGATGGAGCGGCGGCGGAGGCAACAGCTTAGTAAAGGCTTGACAAAGCCTAGCAGACGTGGGTGGATAATTGTTAATGAGATGCTTTTGCAAAAGGGGCCACGCTGCACGTGCTGCTCATGCTGACGAGCTCGCGTCGTTGTGCCGTCGAGTTGCATGGGGAACGGCGAAGGAGGCGCGGCCCTAGGGTCGAATGAGAGATCGCAGAGGGGCATCCTGCCATGGCACGCGCTCGTCAGACTGCGAGGAAAGAGAAGAGGAAGTGCTTGCAGTGCAGCACGAAATTTTCATCAGCGCAGTAGCAACATTCGCACGAGGAGAGGCGATCGAGAGTTCAAAGGTGGCAGACGTGCAGCCACGCAATCACTTGCTTATACGACGGTCGGCAGAAGTGCCTCTGCTTGAGGGAGCTCTATAGAACCCTTCAGGAGGGTCTTTGGCCTGCTGGGTCCACGCTGGCCTGACATCTTTATTGACGAGGTGGGAGAGAGCCCAAACTTTACACCACCGTGCCCGATCGCCTGACTCCGGCGTCCCCCATATATACTGGCAGGGTGGGCAGAGCGGGCAGCAGGGCGGATGGTAGGAGGGCTTTGTCCACCATTGCAACTGCGACGCAGGCGAATTGAATACGAGCCGTGCTAACCACGACGCGCCGGGGCAGCAACCCCGCGGAAGGCGAAGCTTTGCGTCGGACTTTTCGCGTCCTCGCTGAGCGGTGACCCGTACGCAGACGTCCCCAAAAAGCTGACGCCTTGGCCCCCAGCGGCGAAAAGCATCTTTCAGAGCCGGCCCCTCGCCTAACGAGGCAAATGCCGCGAGGCACAAGAGCTCTGAAGCACAGCCGCCTAACGAGCCCAATTCTCACACGTAGCTCGCAGCTATTTTCATAACGAGGCGTCTTTAATCGCGATCTGTTTACTCTGGAAGATGAAAAAAAAACACATCACGTGGTTGTAACGTTAAGAGGCTGCGTTGTTTCGTGTCGCGGTGTTTTTCTCTCCCCCAAGTCACGGCTGTAGCGGCGTTGGAAATCGCACGGCACAGGAAGGAATGTGCGCGAGCAGAGAGATGCGCGTGGCTGCTGCGAGCGCGTGTAAGCAGGCCGTTAATTATTTCCCTTGTTTGAACATTTCCATCTTTGGGGGGGGGGGGGGGGCGGGAACATGAGTTTGGCATCAACAAGTCCGATCGATGCGACATCCGCGTCGATCCGCCGGTCAATTAATCTCTGATAATGAGGCCACAGGGTCCTCCAGAGGGGCTTGGAGCAAACGAGCACAACGTGGGCGTCCGGTTCCCGCTTGAAGTCGGAAAACCCCCGGAGACTCCAGGGGTCTTCAGCTGCCTGTCCCTCGTCTCAGCAAGGTCACGCAATTGATCTGCCCCACGGCCAAGTCGGAAGTTTTGACCGGAGAATTTTAGATGAATAATTTCACGGGGAGTGGGAGCGGGGGGGATGGGGGATGTATACAAACACACAGAAGGAAATTTAATTAAGCATTAGGACATATATTTGAGACTAGCCTATAGCCCGTCCAATGAGGTGTATTGCAGTTAATCTGAAATATTACATTGAAAACAATGACCCGCTCATGATAAAATTTTGACTTAAAACTTTCGTGACTGCAGGAATTTATAATCTTTGGTTCTTTCGGTAAAGTCACGTATATAGAAAGAAAACATTAAATAATAAAGTGAAAAAAAAACTCATGTAGACTGTAGCTTGGTTCTTATTCTGAGTCTACATTGTAGACTGTAGCAATAGTTATTAAGCTGGGTGAGTGTACTGGCAGTCTATAATGTAGACTGTAGCCTGGTTCTTAACCTTGGTGAGCGTGCTGGCTATTTTAATTATTTCTATTTTTTATTAACTTTACTTTATTACCGATCATGATTATTAATGAGGGGGTGGGGCGGGGTCCACATGAGTGACGTCATCAGCTAATGATTATTGATGAGGGGGGGGAGCTCCATGTGGAGTGACGTCATCCGCTCATGACTATTAATGAGGGGGGTGCCCCATGTGGAGTGACGTCACCCGCTAATTATTATGAGGGGGAGTGCCTCACGTCATCCGCTCATGATTATTGAGGGCAGTGCTCTATGTGGGGTGACGTCACCCGCTCATGATTATTAATGACGGGGGGGAGGCCTCATTTGGAGTGACGTCACGCGCGGGACACACACAGCCTTTTTTGGCTCGTTTTATTAGTTTCTGCTTTGATTTCTTCATTAGCTTTACTTTCCATAATGAAAGCTCAAAATTAAAGCTAATTTGCGTAAACAAATTTTCGTCTCCGCTCCACCTTCTTCATGTGGAGTGACGTCACCCGTCATGATTATTAATGATGGGGGGGGGGGGTCCATGTGGAGGACCCCACCTGTTCATGATTATTAATGAGGGGGGCTGGTCGACGTGGAGTGAGGTCACGCGCGTTACACACAGACATTCTTGGCTCATTAAATTAGTGATTGTGATGCTGACGTTTGTATAAAGTCTGCTGTGATGCCGAACTTAATTCATGTTTGAACCGAGGCTCCATCGGTGATTTTGTAGCAATTTTTAATAATGATAAAAGTTTTGAGCCTTTGTGGATGTGGAACTCATCACACCACGTCGGTTATAGGGGATTGTTTGACCATACTTGACCGCACGGGTGAGTGTGGGTTGACAAGGTGGGGATATAATTTGCCACTGATGTTAGCCGTGGGTGGGAATTTAACTTGGCCGAGTTAAACCACTGAGCCACTGCGCTACCATTTGAAATACGTAAAGATGAACATGAATCTATAACAACTTGGAACAAAAAAATAATAATTACAAAGCCAGTACAATTAATAATACGTTGTTATTAGTAGCATTGACGGCCCATAGTGTAGGAGGAACTTGCCAACAACAGTCGTATACCAAACAGTCTGTTAAAAACACTTGAATTTCAAACTAAACAAATTCATACCAGTGTTTCACATGTAAACATGTAACAAAACACATTATGTTACACAACAACACAACAGGACCATGCAAAAACTGAACTGCAATTGGTTGTAATTCCTCATACTCCTACAATCGATATTTATACTTGCAAATCTACAGCCCTTTTGTCAATCCACTGCCAGATTAGGGCCTCCCCACGCCTGACATGGGCCGCGAGGGCTATCTGACCGTACTTCACCACGCTGGTCGGCGCGGATTTGGTGAAGGCGTCGGGAGCATAACAAGGGGGCCGGGGAAGCGTAGAAGTAGAGGACAACGATGGATTTCGCCGCAAGGATGCGTTGGTAGCCGGATCGAGCGATGTTACTCACAGTCGAGGAAACACCACTTGGGCGAGAGACGCTGGGAAGACAGCACCCGGGGATTGGTGCCATCGCCCTCCTGCTGCACAGACGAGAGGGACGGCGGGTCTCAATATGTGGCGCGCACGTATCGGACATCCACACAGCACCCACCAGTTCACGGTCACGCCTCGATTCCAGTGATCTTCCAAGCAAGGTACTCACCGCCGCCCCCCACCATCGCGGAAAAATCACAAACTTGGACTTAAAGCTTTCGTGACTGCAGGAATTAATATTCATGGGTCTTTCGGTAAAGTCATAAAAAATAACAAAAAACTACGACGTTTCGATCTTCCTGATGACGAACGCTTGCGTTGCGATAAAAAAACTTAGTTTTTTTGTTATTTTCTTTGACCCTATCTACGTGACTTTACCGAAAGACCCAAGAATATCACAAACTTTGCTAGTTAAATGAAAGCAATTTGTGTAAGATGCACGGGGAGAGGGGGGGGGGCGGGGGAGTGGTACGCGTTGGAGATGGAGGTTATCATCCCATTCGTAAACGAGAAGATTTTGTGGCCTACGAGTCGGAGCTTCCCATTTTCATTGTAATCGCAATATTCATTTCAGCGGTGGCGCAGCACAATCACAGCCTCGTCGTACAAACAACCAGGAAGCCATGCATAGTCCACGATGTCAGGCGCGTCGTTTGAACTGGGCCCACGTAAAATGTGTATTTGGTGTAAAATCCAATAACTGCCGACGCATGCAAATCACATGTGCGGAGCAGCTCAGCAATCACATACGGGAGACGACGTCGACGAAATCAAGAGGAAATATTGAGGACGAACAAAAGCCAAAGAAAAAGCTCCCCGTACAGCCTCAACAAACTGTTGGGGCAAGTGCTGTTGGCAAGCACCTATGAAGGCCCGCATGGCACACGAGGGGGGTGGGTGGCCAGCACCATCCCCGGCCGCCTTTGTCTCCCTCGTCGTGATGTTTACACACCGCTCCATGTACTCATTTGAGGCTGAGTCGACCAATGGGAGGCCCGTGATCAGTTCAGATAATCGTCACTGCGTTGGCCATGAGCGGGAATCAAACTCGGATCGCCGAGTGTTCGTAGGGCAGCGCGCTGACCGCTACGCTTCCGCTCCCCACGAAGAAGCACACGCAACCGCATACCCCACATGTGAACGTGCATGCCAAACACGGGGGCATGGCAATGGATTGGGATGCAGAGGGATGCAGGGCGGGGTGGGGGGGGGGACAGACCTGGAACCTTCGCTGGAAGCTGGGAGGGATAAAGGGAAAGTCCTGCAAGAAGAAACAAAGCCGACGCAGCCAGAGAGTGAAGCTAACGCTGGTCCTCCCTTCTCCCCCCCACCCCCCACCTCCTGCCAGCTTCCCTCCCGTGGAGTTCAACACCGGCCAGCAGATGCGCTCACCCTGGCTCGGACATGTGCAAGAGAGAGCTGTGTTGGAAAAGAAGAGTGAGAACTTTTTTTTATTGATGCTCATAATTTACATTCGGACCCCCCCCCCCCCCTCCCCGACTGTTTCTTATCAATGCCAGGACAAACCCCGTCGCAGCGTTTTAATAGCGAGGCCCGGTGCTTCCCCCCCCCCCCCCCGCACAAATCGTTACCCCCGCCTAGTTTCCACTCGGCAAATGCACGCTGTGTCCCGTGCATGTGAGACCACATCTCTGCAACACGAATGTTGTCGCAGAATTTTGCATTTTGGAGTTGGGGGGGGAGGGGGTGGACTGGCTGGGGGGGTGGGGGGGGGGTGGGAGGTGCTGGGGGTGGGGGGGCAGGGCGGGGGGATGGGGGGGGCGGGGGGTGCTTGCGTGGGTTTGAACATGGATGCCCCCCCCCTTTTTTTCCTCCGGCAAATGCAATTAAATCAATCGTGGATTTTCTTCAAATTTTTTTTTATGTTTAAGAGGATTTCGTACTCATAAAGAACCCATGCGGTTAAAAAAAAACCTCTCCCCTAGCAACCAGAGGACAAGCTATGAAAGTCACCGGGTTATGGGAAACGGTCTGTGGCTAAGAGCATGAGGGTTATATGTTTAGACAAATGAGTCCGGGGTAAAAAGGGCAGCCGACCAGTCTGACGTAACTGCAGGGAGGATTGCGTTTCCTTGCACGCGCGCGCGCTCAGAATTCACGCCAGCCCTTCCATTTCTCATTCTCTCCCGCTGCGCTGCTTTAGCTCCGCTGATGGCGGCCGCCCCCCCGTGGCATCAGAACTATCGCCAACGATTACTTTTTTCTGCGCCCCCCCCCCCCGCATACCATCCCCCACAATCCCCTCCTCTTACGTTATTTTTGTGTGGGAACACCGCGGGGGCTCCTGATGCGACGCAAAAAAAAAAAAAACCCCCGGGTGAATGCAGACCACCTAATAATGCAGGCCGCGACGAATTCACGCACGCACGCACGCACGCACGCGAACGCGTTGAATGTCTCACGCATTTTTTTTCCCCCGCCCGCGTTTTGAAGAACGCCAATGCCCTTGCGAACGCGTGCGCACTCCGCCATCGCCGCCGCTCTGACCGCCCGCAGCTGGACCCTGTGACAGCGCAGCAGGGCAAGGGGGCAGCTGGATCATCGCTCGCCGGCGAGTGGTGGAAACAAACGCAGATGAGCTGACGCCGTCGATCGCCGAGTCCCCGGGTGGGCGCAACCGCCGAGACGCGCATGCAATCGGCGCGGCAGCGACTCCGCGCGAGCGGCGGGGTTGGGGCGCTGCCCCAACGTGCCGCGTGGTTGTTGTTTGGCGCGACGTCCGACATTTCGCTCCGCGCGCTGCCAGCGTCTTGAGAACGTGAATAAGAGTCCCACGCTGCGGGAGCTTCCTCGGGAACTGAATAACGGTTCGGCGAAACGTCGGACGTCGCGCCGAGCGACACGCGGCGGCGCGACGGAGAGCTGTTCGGCATCGCCGTGGGGAATGCCGCGGAGATTCGCGCTGACAACGTACGGCTTCGCAAGGATTTAAGGCAAAAAAAAATTGAGCGCAATTGTTTTCCAGTTCGCGCACGGACTTACAAATGCAGTTGAGCAAGAACACACGCACGCACGGCGCTCACCTCTTGAAGGCGGTCAATGTGTGTCCGACACACCATGAGGTCGCAGTCGCCAGGCACCACAATGACCCCCAAGGGCACGGCTGGAGGGGACACGTGAAGGGCAGCGGGGAGAGAAGTAGAAAGCGAATTGAGCCAAGGAACAACAACCGCAAATGTCACCTCACTTACCGCAAGGCAGTTATTTTCGTTAACTGTAACCAAGTTTCCAACTGATTTATTTTCTTTTCTAAAAATTGGAGTTTCATCGGATGTTTATAAGCATTCAAATGTCCTGCCAAAAAATGTATATACTACTCAATAACATAAAAAAAACATTTAAATTTGGTTTACGTTCTTTCGAGTGAATCCATTTTGGATGCAGCAAATATTATTACTGAGTTTTTTTTGGAAATAAGCTACATGTCACGAAAACTGTCCAATAATCACAGTTACAATGTGGACACGCCTGTAACCGCTGCACTGAGACTCGGGCTCTATTTCTGCCGGTAAGGCCCGTCGAGCCGAGCGGCGCTTTTAGAAAAACAGCCACGGCCCCGAGGCCATGGGAGGCAGTTGGAGGACAACGCCGTGGTGGCTATGAGATGTTAGTTCAGGAAGTTGTGGGTTCGATCCTGACCGTGACACCTGCATATTTTGAGTTTGTATGTCTCTCTCCCTGTGATCGCGTGGATTTTTCTCCGGGTCCTCCGGTTTTCGCCTCCGCATTTAGAATCAGCGTTACGCGTTTAGAGTATTTGGCTGCTGTGTATTCCCACGTGATGATGAGCCATTTCGTTGAGCTATCATATGTGGCCAGGTCGCTTCTGAAAAAGAGCTACATAGCTAAGTGGTCTTTGCCTGGTAATAAAAAAATAAAAAAAACATTTATAGAACGTGCAAACCAACAAGAGCAAAAAACAACAACCAACAACAACTTATTTATATGTGAAACATGCCAAAACTTACTGCAAGCAGGAAACACATTACATAGAGTGTTTAAATACCAATCGACAACAGTGCTGCTATAAATGTCCACGTGATTAGCCACATAATTTAGCTATCGTTGGTGGCCAGGTCGCTTCTGAAAAATAAACTAATAGCTCAGTGGTCTTTACCTGGTGAAATAAAAAATAGTTTACTTGTATTTGTATTTTTTTTATGATTCGCTTACCTTTCCCATACTTTGCACTCCTATCGTGTTTTTGTACTGTTTGTTGTTGTGACGTTCTTACCTGGCCGCTACCAGACATCGGCAAAAAAGAGCTTCATAGCTCATCGGATTCCCCCAGTATAAATAATGATTCTAATCCGGATTCTTGTCACAGGTGCAAGTAAATAAACCGTGTATACACCCTCAGATATAACGAAACTTGGTTCGAGCATTCATAGCGATCGTGGGCTGACGTGATTCTGCAGCAGGGTCTTAAAACACACATGGCTAGGGAAGTTACCGTGACCCTCACCAGGATAAACGGATTGAGAAACAAACGAACACATAATCAATTTTATTTAATGCGAACTGGAAACCCAGTGCAATGCAGAGGGGCTCTATTTCTCACAGCGCATCTTGAGATGAAGTCTCCCTCGTAGATGCTTTATAAATCCAAAACATAAGTTATGAACTATCCTTCCAACACTAATGTAAGCAGATTAATCATTGTACAACACATTTCAGCAACATACAAATCGACTCAAGTCTTGTCTCGAAAGTGCTTGCACTTACACCAACTCTCACAGTGCAATACGGGGTTCCTCGTGGTTAAATAGGCACTTTGCAGAGATTACCATTTCATAACTTGTATTTAAAAATGTTTCTGCAAAATTCCTACAGGGCTCGTTAAAAATGTGACGGAGTTTGCGTGCGTGGGCATAGCATGTTTACAAAGCGGTGTTGAATAAACTTGGATATGTCAACAGAAAATGTGCGGGACTGCGAAAGCAAGAGAGCTCAGATCCTAACGCCCATCGATGTGTGACCTGAACAGACACACCAGTCACACTGTCATGCTGTACCCAATATAAAATTGAAAATCAATCAAACCAATGCAAGAGAGAGCGAGAGCTCACAGTCCACACTGATCTACAATTCTTCGGCTCACAAACACCTCACGCGATGTTATCTTGGCATTAAAAATAACGTAAATGAAAGAGAGCCCATTACTGTTTGCGGAATTTACTGCAAAGTGGCGGCATTAATCCGTGACAAAGGGATGTAATCATCTCCGCCGGGAGAGCGATCCTGCAAAAAAAAACTGGATAACTTCTATGCGGGGAAAACTTTTAATTAATTTTGTAAAGTCTTCATATTTATTCCAAGCACTTGCAACGTAATTGCCCCACTTGTTATACATCTCTCAAATTAAAGTTCCCAGAGAAAGGGAAATTACGGTGCTTTCATATCATGCTCTGCGGCCGAAATATAGGACAAGAATCCTCCAAAGCTCTCACCTGGGCTGTACTGGACCATCTGTGGAAACATAGCTTTATAGATCGTCGAATTCCTCCAGTGTAAATAAAAAAATATATTATTCTGATTTTTTTTACGTGGTGCCAAAAGTGAAGGTGCAGTCCTGCAAGTGCTTTCTTGTGCCACTGCTTGTGGAAGCACCTCCACTAGAGGAGAGCTTTCGAGAGCCCCAAGCAGGTATTTGCTCACATTGTGAGCAAATACCTGCTTGGGGCTGCTGTCGCCCCCTCGGTGTGGAACTCTCTATCCCTTTGCACATCCGCAACATCAAATGCCCTCCAACTTTTAAGAAACATCTAAAGGCCTCTATCTGTTTGGCCAGGCTTTCGAGCAGCCCTGAGCTTGGCTCCGCGACTTCGAGCTGTTGGCTTGTCTGCAAAATCTGGCGCGTTATAAATGTTATTATTATTATTTGGCCGACCCTTCAACATTGTCCACACATCTTGGAAGAGGTGGGAGTACCCACACTTAACCCCAACTACACGACAAAGACCTGCTAATCGAGAGTAATCTGTCGGTGTAATCATTTATTCTGCTGAGTGGGCAAGAGGTGGGAGAGGAGGGGGGATATTAAAAACTCACCCCCATTGTTTCAACCGCCACGCCAGGAGGTCAAACCGGCGACCCCCTGGTTAAGGCTAACATCAGTGGCAAGCGACAGCTAAATGGGCTCTGGGCCCAACTCCTTCACCAACCGGTACGCTCAAACAAACATGTACGCTCCAACAAACCCTGACAGCCGACACGGCGTGGGAAGGCTGTCATCTAGCAGTGGACTCACAAAAACCTGTAAATGATCACTTAATACGTTAATCATCACAGCATTGTGAGCGGCATTAAAACGGCTGCCCTCAAAAATGCCTGAGCCGCAGCACGCACTGAGGATAGAAGCGTCGAGCTGAATTGAAAGATGCACACACACTGATGTGCACAGCATTCCAAGGCACTCAGTGGGAGTGCCGGCGCTTCGCGACCGCACTCTGTCATGAAGCCACTTGTTGGGAGACACAACCTCAAGAATGCGTGACCTTCAAGTGTTATTATTATTGCCGCCGCCACCGTGCGAAGCCTCATAACTTCGTCTGGAAGCAGGCGAACAACAGAGAATGATTCACTCGTCTGCCTCGAAAGGCTACTGGGGAAACCAGCTGTTAGCGAGCACTTGTGCTATTGTGGCTTTTGTGTCGCATGAGGCCAAAGGGCCATCAATCCTGGCTCTGCTGACGATGATGGTGATGTATAATGCACCGCGTCCGGCGCTCATTTTAGGCCGAGCAGATCCCCACGAGGTACGGGCTGCGGATACCGATTGTCCCGTCATAAGCATGGCTACATTATGAACTTGCGTCACTGCAATCAAGACAGTGCACTAACCGCTACGCCACTGCTTGCCACGTGAAAATATATTTGGAGGCTCACTGTTAGCGAGCACCTATTAAGGGCAGAGCGGCCCGGCGCATGTATGGCCAGCACCATGCCTGGCCACCTTTGTCTCCCCAGTGCTAATATTCACACATCACATCAGGTACTCGTATTCAAGGCTATGTATATGTAGGGGAGGCCCAGGACCGGATCGAATTGTGTCACTGGTGTTAGCTGTCGTCAGGAATCGAACTCAGGTTGCCGAGTTTGCAGTGGAGTGAGCTCACAAAAACAAAGATTCCCCATCATAGGCGCACCAGGTACACATTTACATCGACATAGGTAAGGTCCAGGAGCTAAACACAACACTACACAAAGATCCTCCATATAGTCTTAACAGACTGTTGGGGCACGTGCTGATAGCAAGCACCTACGAAAGCTGGCACAGCACACGGGGAGGTGAGTGGCCAACACCACGCTTTGCCGCCTTTGTTTCCCCAGTGCTTATATTTACACACTGCACCAGGTACTCATTTGAGGCTGAGTCGACCTAGGGGAGGCCCAAGGCCCGTTTCGGATCATCGTCACTGGTCCGCATTTACGCGATCTAACCCAAAAAAGCTCTATTATGGATATCGGTCGCGAAAGCCCACGTGTTAAATCGTCACTGTTGTTGGCCATTAGCGGGAATTGAACTCGGGTGGCTGGGTTCTTCGCGCAGCGCGCTGACCGCAGCACTACCGCTCGCCACACACACAATCGTACACTCTAACATTTGAACAAGAGCCAAGAAGCGAAATATAAATCAGTGGGCACTATACTGGGGAGAACTGGCCTATAAAATAAAAAAACGCATTAAATTCTAGCGCCTCCATGACCGTTTTACAGAAAATCCGCCGGTGGTCGCCAAGGGCCGGTTAAAACTCGTTAATCGAAGCGTAACCTGCCTGCATGTCTTGTGCGCACAGCAGTTGGAGCTCACTTTGTATCCCGTACTTTATGTACGCATGTTGAACTTCTTTCGCACCGTACGTAGCCGACGGTGCTCTTGGGAGGTTCCGGGAGCGTGCGTTGCGCGACGATAGATCTACTGGAGCGGCCGCGCAGCGGTTAGCACACACCGCAGCATGAACCCGGTGAACTTAGGTTCGATTCCCAGCCACAGATAACATCAGCGGTGAATGGTATTAACAACCAGTCCTCGGCAGCCCTCTCGGCCCTCCACCAACCCTCCTCTGACCAGCGTGGTGAAGTATTTTCAAACAACCACAC